TTTCCCTATCAACTTTGTATATTCCCAAGAATAATGGAAACGTGAAGTTAATTAGGATGAATACTTGCAAGCAGGAAAATGAATCCCGCTCAGGTGGACCGGAACAGGGATTCTTAATATGAAGTCTTTGGACTCTATGAGTTTTCAGGACCAGAAAAATCTAAGATATATACAGAAATATTGTATATATTTGTCAATGGGTAATTTGGGGGAAGAAGTCTATCATTTCATATTATCAGAGTTGTATAAGACCCAACAAGATTGATTCTCACTGGTCTAGAATCAAAGTCTGGGATAACTGGGAATGACTTTTGGGATAATCTTAAAAAATTAGTATCTAGCAATTTGGTTAAGTAACTCACAGTCCATACATGTTTTGGAATGTTATGCGATAATGAAGATTATGTTTATAAAGTCATAAGAAAAAACCATATAATGTAATATTGGGAAGTATTTATTGTTCTGAATAAAAAATTTTTAAGAAATTGTTAAATTACATATGTGTCCTGAATGCTAAGGTAAGGATTAACAAGATCTTTTGCAAGGATTTAATAATTGGTTATTCGTTGGCACGCAGGAGAGGTTAACTCAAATGATTGAGCAGCTGCTGTGAAATAAGCATTTTTTTCTGTCTGCTGTGCATACTGTCTCTTAATCTTTGGAAATGTCACAAACCAGCTTTGTGATCCTTCACAGAAGGATCTCTGGGTGTTAATGAACTACAACATTGAAGAACTGGTAAGAATTATTTTTTCAGTGACATTGATTTCCCTGTTGTTACCACTTATGCAGGCCTATTTAATCAGTTGTTTTTAGTGACTATAAGGTACCCACCTTCCCAAATCATTAAAAAATTATTTTTAATGGGAATAGCTTTTTTTTTTTTTTTTTTTTTTTGGGGTCCGCGGGCCTCTCATTGTTGTGGCCTCTCCCGTTGCGGAGCACAGGCTCTGGACGCGCGGGCTCAGCGGCCATGGCTCACGGGCCCAGCCTCTCCGCGGCATGTGGGATCTTCCCGAACCAGGGCCCGAACCCGCGTCCCCTGCATCGGCAGGCAGACTCTCAACCACTGCGCCACCAGGGAAGCCCTATATATTTTTTAAACTGATTTTTTTTAATGTGTTTCTTGGATATTTTCCATTCCCTAACAGTTTTCTAAAACTTAGCATTTAATTATTACTTTATTCTATTTTGTGGATGTTTTATAAATTATTTAAGAAATCAGTTGTTGGGAAGTGATGTTCAAAACTGCCTAAGCAATTCCTCAGACAGCCTTTCTTAGGTCCTATTAATCAGCTTTTCACTTCAAGGTCACGTGGGATTTCAGAGGTAGGAACATTTAGGAACATGGCATTGACTTTTGCTAAGTTGGGGTTCAGGTGATAACTCTGAAGTATTTGGCTGAATTTCTGAAAGAGTCTTAGAATATGAAATGGACAGTTCTGCTATTTTATGCCAGAAGCTTCATCCTCCTGATCCTTCATTTGAGTGAGAGTTTGAGAAATGAATTAATGATAATCTTACAAAAAACAAAATTATTTTAACCTCAGAGAAGACTTGGGAAAGGAAGGCGAAATAATCTAATTATACTGTATAGCTCAGTTGGAAATGGTATTTACATAGTCATAATAATGGAAATTGAATATCCATTTACCCTGTAATAGAACAAAACCATATTGGAAGGATAGGGAGATGGACCTACGCATACGTGCAGTGGGAGATGGGTGGATAAAAGACAGCCAGAACTATGCTTTCCATAGTAGGAAGTCAGTAGATAATGGTTAAAACTGAAAATTCAGAAGTAGCAATATTAGCATGTTATTTGAATATATGGTGTTTAAGTAACAAAAGAAAAAGCTAAAAGAGGTGAAAATTGTTGCCTCGAGATTTGGAAGATGGGAGAAAGAGTAGCAGGGATGGAATTGTTGGGGCTTTTTGTGATATTCCTTGTAGGGCTGTTTTAAATTTATGGCCAGGTACAAGTGATACAGATTTTAAATTTTTTGATTAAAAAATTAAGAGACTCCAGAGGAGAACAAAATAAAGATCACCTGGGATACCATCCAGTAGAGGTAACATGATAAAATTTTATTCCAAGTCCGTCCACAGATTTTCATGCACATGCATAATAAATACATGTATGCATATGTATGTAGTTTTCTTGCCAAAAATAGAATCACACACAATACTATTTTCTAAACTATCTTCTTCTCCCAACAATATATAGTGACCATCTTTCCATGACATCAAATAAGAATTTTACCTTTGTATTTTTAGTGGGTGTTTAGTTTTCTGTTGTGTGAATGCATGATAATTTATTTAACCTTCTTGAAGGATATTTAGGTTCTTTCTGGCTTTTTTGGTCCCATTATAACCATTTTCCACATATCATTTCATTCTTTCTACTTCATGCCACAAGGGTCCATTTCTCCACAGCCTTAGTGATACTCTGAAGTATTATCAGTTTTTAAAATCTGCTAATCAAATTCCTTTAAATTCAACTCCTTAGTTACTAGTCAGTTTTAACTAGTGGGTTATTTCTACTTTCTAGAGAATTATCTGTACTCACTTTTACAAATTCACTTTTCCCCAGCCTGGATACCAAGAGAATTGGGTTGGTAAATGAGATCATGTAGGCAGTATTGATGATTCTTAATAGGAAAATGGTGAACAGTGAGCTCTGAGGATTCTGGGAAAGATAGTTCAGCCTTGAGGATGGGATCCCAGTGTGCAAGTCCAGTCTTGCCATTATAAAAACTGCTAGGCATGATCTGTGCAAGTGATTCTCAAATTGTGGCATTTGGACCAGCAGCATCGGTATCAACTTAGGAATTTTTTCGAAAGGCAAATTCTCAAGCCCAACCCCAGACCTAGTAAATGCCAACCTTGAGGAGTGGGGGCCTGCAAACTGTATTTTAATCAGCCTTTCAGGTGATCTGATGCATACAAAGTTTGATTACCAAACCTGCCCATTATGATCACTTGGGGAAGGTTTAAAAATTCTGATTCCCGGGTCACACTCCCTGCTAATTAAATCAGAATGTTTGGGGGATAGGAGTTAGGCATCAGTATACTTTAAAGATCTGCTGGTGATTCCAGTGTGTGGCAAAGTTTGGGAAATTCTCGTCTGTACTATTTTCTGCCTTCAGGGTTAGGGAGGCAAGTCAGATTCCTGACTCTCAGAAGGAAGTTCTGGTTTAGATGATGTAGCCACTTCTCAGCTGGGGAAGGTGGGAACGAGGGGAGATGGCTCTGCTCAGGACACGTCTGGACAGCCTATGCTCAGGTCCAGATGGGCCTCGCTGGGGTGGGGAAGTAACTGGAATTTCTCCTGCTAAAATGGCTTTATATGTCCTTCCATGCAGGAGAGTCTGCTCTATGTCTATCCTTGTGCAACGATTTTCCTGTCATTTTGGGGAGGGCATGTATTTGTCTAAATTACCTCTTACCTTTCATCACTTGTTTGTGTGTTGGGAGGGGCGGGTAGAGGGGTGTTGCATGTAGGAATGGAAAAGTGGTGTGAGTGTTTAAAATTTGGGAGCTGTGAGGCAATTTTGTTCTTATGGCTTCATGTTCTTCCCCCAGCTCTTAGCTTCTGTGGACTCTGCTTCTCCAGCAAATGACCCTTGAGGAAAACGGACCAGTTTCTTGCAAATCTGAAATCATGGCTCATGTAAGTTGATATTTCTCTCTATTTGAAATGCTGTAATTGTTTTCAGGTTATGTAAACATTTTCATTAGTTATCCCAAAACTTCCTAACAGAGCCCCATCCAACAGCTTTTCCCTAGTTGCTCCCACTCTAGTGAAGGATGGAGCCAGACAGCCTGGCCCCTCCTGTGTGCCCCTCTCTGTGTGAATTGACCAAATTACTCAAGGTCTCCTGTATGTTCATTCTTTGTCTAGAGCAGAGATAAAGCAGAAATGAAGTCCCTAGAGGGAGACAACTGATAGGAGATTCTCAGGACTGGAGAACACTTTAGAGCAGCACTGTCCAATATTAAAAATACAAAATTAGTGCCTTATTAGCACAGTAGGCCTCATGTCAGTCTCATAATAAGTAGAGAATAATATGCAAGGCACATATGTAATCTTTTGTGTCACGTTTTATTTATTATTAAAAAAATTTTTTAAATTAATTTTATTTTATTTGGCTGCCTTGGGTCTTCGTTGCTGCACGTGGGCCTTTCTCTAGTGTTTTGGCAAGCAGGGATTACTCTTCCTTGTGGGGCGCAGGCTTCTCATTGCGGTGGCTTCTCTTGTTGCAGAGCACAGGCTCTAGGCGCGTGGGCTTCAGTAGTTGCTGCACATGGGCTCAGTAGTTGTGGCTCAGGGGTTCTAGAGTGCAGGCTCAGTAGTTGTGGCACATGGGCTTAGTTGCTCCGCGGCATATAGGATCTTCCCAGACCAGGGCTGCAACCAGTGTCCCTTGCATTGGCAGGCGGATTCTTAACCAGTGTGCCACCAGGGAAGTCTCTAGCGTCATATTTTAAAAAGAAACGTGCAGTTAATTTTAATGCTTTATTTAACCCAATATAGCAAAATACTATCATTTCAAAATGTAATCAATATAAAAATTATTGAGGTATTTTACATTCTTTTTTTTCCCTCTAAAGTCTTCAATATCTGGTGTATATTTTATAGTTACAGCACATCTAAATTTGTACTAGCTACAGTTCAAGTGCTTAGTAACCACGTGTCTAAGGTAGCATATTGGACATTGTAGCTTTAGAAATTTTGTGTAACCTAAATTGTAAATATAATTTAATATGTTTAAGAGTATAAAATAATCTAAATAGAATCATTATTAAGTCCAACATGTCTATTAAATGGAGTATTTTATAATAAGTTTAAAATATTCAATAAAAGGATTTGTTATAGGGCTTCCCTGGTGGCACAGTGGTTGAGAGTCTGCCTGCTGATGCAGGGGACACGGGTTCGTGCCCTGGTCCAGGAAGATCCCACATGCTGCGGAGCGGCTAGGCCCGTGAGCCATGGCTGCTGAGCCTGCGCATCTGGAGCCTGTGCTCCGCAACGGGAGAGGCCACAGCAGTGAGAGGCCCACGTACCGAAAAAAAAAAAAGATTTGTTATAATAAGGGAAAGTGCTAATGATACATACAGTGATGAAATTGGGTCTGGAAGAAATTCTTTAATTTTGTGCAAACTCTACTTTTTAAAAATAGAGATTTTATGGTTCATCTGGGGGGGAAAAATTCCATCGATTATTTTTTTCTAACCCTTAAAGGGAAGGAGGTTAGAGTAAATCACATTTCTGTTTTTGGCCGCACCTTGCATCATGTGGGATCTTACCTCCCCAACCAGGTTTTGAACCCGTGCCCCCTGCAGTGGGAGTGTGGAGTCTTAACCACTGGACCACCAGGGAAGTCACTATAGTAAATCACATTTATTTTTTTTAGGCCCGTTGCTAGTAGTGCTTTTATGGGCACTATTTCAATTAATTGTGAAATTCTTTGCTTTTTTATTTACAATATTTTGTTAGTTTAAGGTGTATAGCAAAGTGATTCAATTATTTTTTTTCAGGTTATATTCTATTATAGGTTATTACAAGATAATGAATATAATTCCCTGTGCTATACAGTAAATCCTGTTGCTTATCTATTTTATGTATATATAGTAGTTTGTACCTGTTAGTACTCCTAATTTATCTCTCCCTCCCTCCCCCTCCCCTTTGGTAACCATAAGTTTGCTTCTGTTTTGTATGTAATTCATTTGTATTATTTTTTTAGATTACACATATTAGTGATATCATATAGTATTTGTCTTTCTCTGATTTACTTCACTTAGTATGATATTCTCTAGATTCATCCATGTTGCTGCAAATGACAAAATTTCAGTCTTTTTTATGGCTAGCATTCAGTTGTACATCTTAAGCCAGTCTTCTGTTGATCAGCACTTGAGTTGTTTCCATGTTTTGGCTATTGTAAATAGTGCTGCTATGAACATTGGGGTTCATGTATCTTTTCAAATTTTTGTACTTTCGAGTTTTTGTTTTCTCCAGATATATACCCAGGAGTGGGATTGCTAGATCATATGGTAGCTCTATTTTTAGTTTTTTAAGGAACCTCCATTCTGTTCTCCATAGTGGCTGCACCAATTTACATTCCCACCAACAGTGTAGGAGGGTTCCCTTTTCTCCACACTCTCTCTAGCATTTATTATTTGTAGACTTTTGGATGATAATCATTCTGACTGGTGTGAGGCAATACCTCATTGTGGTTTTGATTTGCATTTCTCTAATAATTGGTGACGTTAGGCATCTTTTCATGTGCCTATTGGCCATCTGGATGTCTTCTTTGGAGAAACGTCTGTTTAGGTCTTCTGCCCATTTTTGATTTGGTTGTTTGTTTTTTTGGTACTGAGTTATATGAGCTGTTTGTATTTTTTTGTATATCAACCCCTTGTCGGTCACTTCGTTTGCAAATATTTTCTCCCATTTGATAGGCTGTCTTTTTGTTTTGTTTCCTTTTGTGCCCATCAACAGAAGATTGATGGTTTCCTTTACTGTGCAAAAGCTTTTAAGTTTGATTAGGTCCCATTTGTTTGTTTTTGCTCTTATTTCTTTTGCTGTTGGAGACTGATCTAAGAAAATATTGCTACAATTTAGTGAAACTCTGATTAATTACCTGAACATATCTGGAAATAAGTAAAATTCGGTATCCCACAGTTATATAGGAAGTTTCGTCTGTAGCAGTAGTAGGCAAACTACAGCTTGTGAGCCAGATTCAACCCATGGCCTGTTTTTGTACAATCTATGAGTTAATTACTTTTTGAAAGAATTGTTTTAAAAGAGTAGGGAAAGGAGAAGGATATACAAATAGTGACAATATGTGGCATGTGGCCCTATACAGAAATAAATAATTTTACAATCAAAACATGGGTTTGTCATTTCAGGATTTGGTGATGTTCAGAGATGTAACTGTAGACTTTTCTCAGGAAGAGTGGGAATGTCTGAACTCAAATCAGAGGAATTTGTACAGAGATGTGATATTAGAGAACTATAGCAACCTGGTGTCACTGGGTAAGTTTATCTGTGTCAAGTCATGTAGAAATTCACATGACTGAATTTCAGGGCTATCCTTCTAAAAGCTAGCCAAATATCTGCTTTGTAGTTTGGGAATAGGCACCTTCAGCTGTTAAACTATTAAATAGCACCTTTAGCTTCCCCATAAATCAGTGACGTTTACATTTTCCTTTGCCTTTTCCATAATTGCTTCTCTTGAATGACAGTTTGATATAAATTCTTAGACACTCAGAGCAAAACCATTTTCAAAGAAATCTGGTTTCATACTGCTGTAGATGGTCTATTATCTATTAACTTACCTGCAATGTGAGTAGGAAGACAGAGGTGTCTGGCTCTACATACCTGTTGAAAAAGCTTATACAATGTATATGATACTGGGTTAAATCAGTAGTTTGTAAAAACTCAAGTGGACACATTCAGTTTATCGCAACAAACATTATCTTTTAATTGATTTGTGATTAAAAGTTTAAAATATATGAACTTTGCATTTAACATTGGATGAATATACTGGCAAGAAACTATATTCCTCTTAGCAAAGTATTTAAAGAAAAGCAAAAATAGTACCTAATAAACATGTATAGTGCTTACTGTGTACTAGGCATTCATCCAAGCACTTTGTTTATTAAGTCAAACCTCACACAATCCTATACATTATTATAAGAATGGTATACATTATTATTTTATATATTTTTATGTGTTTTATATGTTATTATATATTATTTACATATGGGTATACATTATTTTTCCAACTGAGAAAACTGAGGCTGTAAGTTGTTCAGGTGACAGAGGCAGGATTTGAAACCAGTGCTGTCATTGATTACTTCCTCAAGAGACAGAGGCTGTATGAATTGGAAATTAAAATAAGGCACTATTCCTATCTCTCTGTTCTTGTGATCCTGAAGTAACTCTAATATCAATGTTTTTCTGTTCATTTACTCTTCTTTGTTCTGAAGGCTTAGTCAAGTATATCCTTTCTGTATTATGTTTTCTCAAGGAGGATGTTCCGTTTCTAAACCAGATGTAATTACTCTGTTAGAGCAAGGGAAAGAACCCTGGATGGTTGTGAGGGATGAGAAAAGAAGATGGAGCCTAGGTGAGTAAGTGCTAATAAGGAAAGGTAAGCTACTGTGGCATGGCATATTCCTGC